GATGGATGGATGGATGGATGGATGGATGGATGGATGGATGGATGGATGGATGGATCAGTCGGTGTTTCTCTTCATCTCTTCATATGAATCATAATTAACCATTAAACTGCTGGAGGAAGTGAGACTCAAGTGTCTTCCTGCCTGATCAGGAAATCTGTGATCCACCTGATGGGTCTAGTGAACAAACTGTGAACGTTCATTAATCCTGAACCATTTACAGCTGCTTGAATGAACCAGCCTAATTGAGCGTGGCTTGGTGTTAGAGCAACAGATTACAGCTGTTTACAAGTTGAAGGCTAGTTCAACCTCAGTTTACAGCTCATATCCTGAATTTAGAAATTTAACTTTGTGCAATAGGCTTCTGGGCTTGAAGACAACATAAAGTGCATGTTTTTGGTCTGTGGAAGGAAACCGGAGAAAACCCACACAAGCACGAGGAGAACATGCAAACGTTGAACAGAAAGACCTCAGGTCCAAACTGGGGATCCAACCAAGGACCTTCTTGCTGTGAGTCATCAATGCTAACCACTGAACCGTAGTGCTCCATTGTGAATTTTGAACACATTTTATTTCTCAATTGCAGGATCTTTTTCAATTACAGATCACCCGCAAGACAAAACGCTGAAACAGAGGAGGAGTAAGGTGGGGTCACCGAGATGTGAGAACTGTTCTGACCTTTAAAACAGGAACATGAACAACAATTATGCAATCACTCGTCAAAACACAGCAGAGCCAGTTCCTCTGAGGTCAACGTCTCTTTTTTAAGACAACAGTATCTTGGACATAAAAACAATACTGGTTTACAGAGATGAGTAAAAGAAGCTATCTTTAAATAAAACAGTTTCATGAAACAGCCACAGAGACAGGACTCTTTATAAACGGCATCCAGCAGTTCCTAAATCACCAACTAAACATTTCCTGTAACAACGTGAGCTTTCGTAAATGTAACTGATGGTAGAACGTCAGAGGAAGTTAAGTATAACTCATGACACAATCTCTCATAAATCACGCCGAGTTTGGCAAAAACATGTCCCAGATGTGACTTAAAACTGCTTTGTGTTGGGTCCGTTTGTCAGAAAGATTAAACAAGACTTACTTCAATGAAAAAAAAACTTTTGCAAATGCATTTACCACTAAAAAGAAACATTCATTTTTTTATTTAATTTCTTTTTATTTACATTTTTTTCTAATCAAAACTACAGCTTACATCTTCTTAAATCTATTACTAGTTTATGCTCCCAAGAAGTTTACTGTAATACACAGATTGTGTTATCGTTGCATGTTTTGCTGTTTTTTTTTTTT